TGGCTGTAGGTGTGTGTCACCTGTCCCAGGTGTGTTACCTGCAGATGGCAGACTGGCTGTAGGTGTGTGTCACCTGTCCCAGGTGTGTTACCTGCAGATGGCAGACTGGCTGTAGGCGGGTCCCTCGGTGGCCGTCAGTGCCTGCCCCACCTGTGTCTGGGTCAGGCCCAGCGAGAGGCGCCGCAGTTTGAAGTTTTTGGCGAATTCCCGGATTTCCTCCAGGTTGATCCCGTCCTCCTCCGCGCCGGGGGGGGCAGGGGGCTCTGGGGGGGCACACGGGGGGGCTGGGACCGGGATTCCCCTGCCCAGGGACCCCAGACCCCTGCCCAGTGCTCCCAGTCCCTGTCCCAGTGCTCCCAGTCCCCGTCCCAGTGCTCCCAGTCCCTGTCCCAGTGCTCCCAGTCCTCGTTATCCCTGTCCCAGTGCTCCCAGTCCCCACAATCCCTGTCCCAGTGCTCCCAGTCCCTGCTATCCCAGTCCCAGTGATCCCAGTCCCCACAATCCCTGTCCCAGTGCTCCCAGTCCCCACAGTCCCTGTTACCCAGTGCTCCCATTATCCCTGTCCCAGCGCTCCCAGTCCCTGTCCCAGTGCTCCCAGTCCCTGTTATCCCTGTCCCAGTGCTCCCAGTCCCCGTCCCAGTGCTCCCAGTCCCCATTATCCCTGTCCCAGTGATCCCAGTCCCTGCTATCCCTGTCCCAGTGCTCCCAGTCCCTGTCCCAGCGCTCCCAGTCCCTGTTATCCCTGTCCCAGTGCTCCCAGTCCCCACAATCCCTGTCCCAGTGATCCCAGTCCCTGTTATCCCTGTCCCAGTGCTCCCAGTCCCCACAATCCCTGTCCCAGTGCTCCCAGTCCCCACAATCCCTGTCCCAGTGCTCCCAGTCCCTGTCCCAGTGTTCCCAGTCTCTGTTATCCCTGTCCCAGTGCTCCCAGTCCCTGTTATCCCTGTCCCAGTGATCCCAGTCCCCCTTTCCCAGTGCTCCCAGTGCCCCTGTCCCAGTGCTCCCAGCGCTCCCATTCCCCCTCTCCCAATGCTCCCAGTGCTCCCATTCCCCCTGTCCCAGTGCTCCCAGTCCCCATTCCCCCTTTCCCAGTGCTCCCATTCCCCCTGTCCCAGCGCTCCCAGTGCTCCCAGTGGGTGGGACTCACTGGCCACCAGCTGGCTGACCGTGGGGGTCTCGGGGCCGGCGACGGGCGGGGGGTTCGGGGTCACCTTGGGGCTCGAACCCCCCCCGGGGGGGGCCGGTTGGATGGGCTGGACCTGGGGGGGACAACCCCAAACTGGGACCCCAAACTGGGACCCCAAACTGGGACAGCCCCAAACTGGGACAGCCCCAAACTGCGACCCCCAAACTGGGACCCCAAACTGGGACCCCAAACTGGGACCCCAAACTGGGGAGACAACCCCAAACTGGGACCCCAAACTGGGACAGCCCCAAACTGGGGGGGACAACCCCAAACTGGGACCCCAAACTGGGGGGACAACCCCAAACTGGGACAGCCCCAAACTGGGACCCCCCAAACTGGGACCCCCAAACTGGGGGGGACAGCCCCAAACTGGGACCCCAAACTGGGACCCCCCAAACTGGGACAACCCCAAACTGGGACCCCAAACTGGGGGGACAACCCCAAACTGGGACCCTCAAACTGGGACAGCCCCAAACTAGGACCCCAAACTGGGACCCCAAACTGGGACAGCCCCAAACTGGGACCCCAAACTAGGACCCCAAACTGGGACCCCAAACTGGGACAGCCCCAAACTGGGACAGCCCCAAACTGGGACCCCCAAACTGGGACAACCCCAAACTGGGGGGACAACCCCAAACTGGGACTCCAAACTGGGACAACCCCAAACTAGGGGGGACAACCCCAAACTGGGACCCCCAAACTGGGACCCCCAAACTGGGGGGACAGCCCCAAACTGGGACCCCAAACTGGGACCCCCAAACTGGGGCTAGAGTGTCCAAACTGGGACCCCCCAAACTGGGGCTGGGGGTTCCAAACTGGGGGGGGGGGGCACAACCCCAAACTAGGACAGCCCCTCACTGGGGCTGGGGGGTCCAAACTGGGACCCCCCCCCTCCCAGTGGTCTCAGGGGGTTTTGGGGGTCTCTCAGAGCTCACCTCGCTCTTGACGGGGGTCTCGGGGGTCCCGCTCTTCTTGGCGGGCGTGGCGGGGGGGGCAGGGGCGGGTCCCGCGGCCAGGGCGGCCCCACCCGCGGCCACGCCCGCGGCCACGCCCGTGGCCAGCGTGGCGATCACCTGGCCCTGCGCGTTCAGCAGCAGCTGCGGCGTCACCTGCGTCACCTGCGTCACCTGCAGGCTCGGCGGGGCCGGCGCGGGGGGGGCCGCGGCCACGCCGGGGGGGGCAACGACCCACGGCAGCGTCCCGATCACCTGTGGGGTGTGGGGGGGGGACAGACACACACATGGACATGGGGGGGGCTGAAAACACCCAGAGGGGGCAACAAGGGGCACTGGGACCCCCCCTCAGTGGGGCACAAAGGGCACTGGGACCCCCCTAATGGGGCACTGGGACCCCTCAGTGGGGTACGAGGGGTATTGGGACCCCTCTAATGTGGCACTGGGACCCCCCAGTGGGGCACTGGGAACCCCCCCAATGGGGCACTGGGACGCCCCTAATGGGGCACAAGGGGCACTGGGACCCCCAGGATGGGACTCAGGGGGCACTGGGACCCCCCAAGAGGTAGCAAAGAGGGGCACTGGGACCCCTCAGTGGGGTACAAGGGGCACTGGGACCCCCCTAATGGGGCACTGGGACCCCCAGGATGGGGCACAAGGGGCACTGGGACCCCCAGGATGGGACTCAGGGGGCACTGGGACCCCCCAAGAGGTAGCAAAGAGGGGCACTGGGACCCCTCAGTGGGGTACAAGGGGCACTGGGACCCCCCTAATGGGGCACTGGGACCCCTAGGATGGGGTACAAGGGACACTGAGACCCTCAGGGGGGCACAAGGGGCACTGGCACCCCCATAATGGGGCACTGGGACCCTCAGATGGGGCACGAGGGGTACTGGGACCCCTCAGATGGGGTATGAGGGGCACTGGCACCCCCCGGTGGGGCGTAAGGGGCACTGGGGGGGCAAACTGGGCAGGGATTGTGTCCAGGGAAACTGAGGCTGGAATATTGTCCAGGGAAAGTGAGGCTGGAATCTTGTCCAGGGATAATGAGTCTGGAAACTCATCCAGGGACACTGAGGGTGGAATCTTGTCCAGGGGAAATGAGGCTGGAATCCTGCCTGGGAAAACTGAGCTTGGAATCTTGTCCAGGGAAACTGAGGCTGGAATGTTATCCCGGGACACCAAGGCTGGAATCCTGCCCGGTTGGCAGGACAAGCAGGACGAGGCTCAGGGAAGGTGACTCTGGGACGTGTCCCCTCCACTCCCACGACCCCCCCCGCGCCCCGCCCCCCCCTCTCCCCTCCCCAAATCCCCCCTTTCCATCCCCCCCATCCTTACAATGCCGGGATTAAAGGCCAGCCCCGCCAGCTGGGACTGCACGGCCAGGGGGGGCTGCACGGCCAGGGGGGGCTGCACGGCCAGGGGGGGCTGCCCGGGGGGCTGCCCACCCACGGGGGGCTCCTTGGGGGGCGTGGGCGCCGCCGGGGGCTGCGGCAGCAGCGGGGGCTGCCCGGGGAGGGGCTGGGGGGGTGCCCGGGACGCCGGGATGGTCGGGATGGCCGGGATGGGGCTCAGCACGGCGGCGGCTGCGGAGAGGGAAGAGAGAGAGAGAGAGAGAAAGAGAGGGACACAACGTCAGCAAGGGAGGGGTTTGGGGGGGGACACGCCCCTGAACCGCCCACCCCTCAGCCCGGTCTGAACGCCCACTCCACCCCAAAAGCTCCCCCGGTGCATCTGGGGACATGTGCAGGGTCCTTAAGGGCACCCATGGAGGGGGGGAGGGGGTCGATCCCCCCCCCTTCCATCTGCAGGTGTCCCCCTTACACACCTCGGGGAACCTCGGCTGCTGCAGGAGGGGCCACAAATGGAGCCCCAAATCTACACCTGGAACCCCAAATCTACATTGGGGTCACACCTGGGACCCCCAAAGCCACACCTGGAAGCCCGGATCTACATCAGGGGTCACAGCTGGAGCCCCAAATCTACACCTGGAACCCCAAATGCACACCTGGAGCCCCAAATCTGCATCGGGGGTAACACCCAGAGCCCCAAATCTACACCTTCTGCCACATCTCGAGCCCCAAATCTCCAGCAGGTCCTGTGCTTGGAGCCTCAAATCTCTGGGAGATCCTCCACCTGGAGCCCCAAATCTTGAACCCCAAATCTCTGGCAGATCCTGCACTTGAAACCCCAAATCTCGAGCCCCAAATCACTGGCAGGCCCTGCACTTGGAATCCCAAATCTTTGGCAGATCCTGCACTTGGAACCCCAAATCTCCATCAGCTCCTCCACCTGGAGCCCCCAAACCTCAAGCCCCAAATCTACACCACACACTCCACCTGTAGCCCCAAATCTACCCCTTCTGCCACACCTGGAGCCCCAAATCTCTGTCAGATCCTGCACTTGGAACCCCAAATCTCTGGGAGATCCTCCACCTGGAGCCCCAAATCTCCGGCAGGTCCTGCACTTGGAGCTCCAAATCTCGAGCCCCAAATCTCCATCAGCTCCTCCACCTGGAGCTTCAAACCTAGGGTTCCAAATCTCTGGCAGATCCTCCACCTGAAACCCCAAATCTCGAGCCCCAAATCACTGGCAGGCCCTGCCCTTGGAACCCCAAATCTCCAGCAGGTCCTGCACTCAGAATCTCAAATCTCCATCACTTCCTCCACCTGGAACCCCCAACCTTGAGCCCCAAATCTACACCACACACTCCACCTGTAGCCCCAAATCTACCCCTTCTGCCACACCTGGAGCCCCAAACCTGGAGCCCCAAATCTTTGGCAGATCCTGCACTTGGAACCCCAAATCTCTGGGAGATCCTCCACCTGGAGCCCCAAATCTTGAACCCCAAATCTCTGGCAGATCCTGCACTGGGAACCCCAAATCTTCAGCAGGTCCTTCACTTGGAGCCTCAAATCTCAAGCCCCAAATCTGCAGCAGATCCTGCACTTGGAGCTCCAAGTCTCCAGCAGATCGTCCACCTGGAGCCCCAAACCTGGAGCCCCAAATCTACCCCTTCTGCCACACCTGGAGCCCCAAATTTGCACCCCAAATCTCAAACCCCAAATCTCCAGAAGGTCCTGTACTTGGAGGCCCAAATCTTCAGCAGGTCCTGCAGTTGAAACCCCAAATCTCGAGCCCCAAATCACTGGCAGATCCTCCACCTGGAACCCCAAATCTCCAGCAGGTCCTGCACTCGGAACCCCAAATCTCCATCACTTCCTCCACCTGGAGCCCCTAGCCCTGAATCTACACCACACACTCCACCTGTAGCCCCAAATCTACCCCTTCTGCCACACCTGGAGCCCCAAATCTTGAGCCCCAAATCTCTGGCAGATCCTCCACCTGTAGCCCAAAATCTCTGGCAGGTCCTGCCCTTGGGAACCCCAAATCTCCGTCAGCTCCTCCACCTGGAGCCCCCAAACCTCGAACCCCAAACCTACCCCTTCTTCTGCCACACCTGCAGCCCCCCCAAACCCTCGATCCCCAGCTGCCTCCCCTTCCCTCCCCTTCCCCTCCCTTCCCCGCGGTGGTGGAGGGTGGGGTGTGTCGTTCCGTGCAGCAGCAGCAGCAGCAGCAGCAGCAGCGGCAGCTCCCGGGGTTACCTGTGAGGTTGGCGACGGGCGGTTTGTAAATTGCCGGCGCCGTCAGTCCCGGGAGCGCGGCCAGCGTTGCTGTGGGGATTGTCACCACCAGCGCGGGCTGGGCTGGCACCGGCCCCGCCACCTGACCTGCAACACTGATGGGGATAAGAAGAGGTTGAGTAACTGTCCCTGCCGGAACCATTACTCCTGTCACACCTGTGGCTAAGCTTTCCTGAGCCAACACCTGCGGAGATAAATGAGATTTGAAAAGAGAAAACAAGAGAAATCAACGCCCGTGGGCAGAGAGCACGAGGGGAGCAGCAGCCCCCCCCCCC